TGCCCACCGGGGCTGGATTACTGGTATTTCGGACTCTCTCTCTCTGCACTACTCCCCATTGAGTGACTGTCGTCTGTTCTAATAAAGCTTTAACTGGTTGACATCTACTCTGTGTGTTCTGTCCTGCCTTCGCTCCGTCACACTGGTTGGCAGTGGTGGGATCAGGACACTGAGGAGATGGCAGACAGTGAAAGCCAGTGGATGGGGCAACATGCCCGCCCCAGCGAATACAAGAAGTGGACTGTGGCATATCTGCAGGAGAGGGCCGAGCAGCTGTCCCTTTCCAGGAGGGGCCTAGCCAAAGAGGATCTGGTTGCAGCCATTGAGGAGGCTGACCCCCAAGACACCCTAACAAGGGAGGAGAGCAGACCAACCCCAGCCTCCCCAGCATGTCATGCCCAGGGTCCAAAAGTCCCTGGCTTACCCGGGTGGAGGAAGAGCTGGCCCTCCTGGGGACAGATGCTACAGTAGAGGACAAGCGAGAGTCCATCCAGAGGGCGCACGAGAGAGAAAACCAAGGGAGCCGCCGGGATTTAAGCTGTCCTTCCAACCCAAGGGCCGCGGGCTGCCCCCCTCCCCGGGTCAGCCGCAAAGACTTTAAACCCTTCAACGAAGTCACCGGGATGTGGAGGGATTTTTTCAGGACTTTGAGCAGCAGTGCCAGCTCATGGAGGTGCCAAGCACGAATTGGCTACGGCACCTTGTGGGGCTGCTAGAAGGGGGTGCAGCCGCAGCCTACCGCACTCTGGATTACCAAGACAGCCGAGATTACGCCCTGGTCAAAAAGACTGTTAGAGTACTATGCGGTGACCCCAGAAGCGCACCGGGCATGCTTCTGCGACCTTCCCTGCCATGCTGAACCGTCCTACAAAATGTACGCTCACAAAGATGTCACAGGCATGTCGTCGCTGGCTAGAGGACGAACAGGCCCTCTTAGTGGAGTGTATTATCCCAACTTTCCTGAAGGAACAATTTTATGACAAATGCCCCTCCAAGGTCAGGCAGTGGGTGAAGGAGCAAAGTCCAGCCACCCTAGAGAAGGCCGCTGCGCTAGCAGACGAAGTGCTCACAACTAAGCCCACTGGAAAAAACTGATGACGGAACCCACTGGGACCCTGGGTGGTGCTTGTCCCCCGCAAAGCCATACCGCCCCCATGTCTACGGTCGCGCCGCCCAGGGTCACGATGGAACGCCGGTGCTATGCATATGGACAACCCGGGCATCTGAACGCTAGATGCTCCAAGAACATCCACCCCCCCAAACCCACACTCCTCGCCCTGTCCACGATGTGCCACTGGTGCCAGGAGGGTGGAGCCTCTCTCCTCCAATTGGATGGATGCCTCCGACAGAAATCGACACCCCTCGAGGAGTCTACGGAGTTCGCCCGCTTACCCCAAGCTACCCAGGGAAAAGGCAGCAGCACCTGCAGGGGGTCTCCATCTACGGCAGAAAGGCTACGAGGTTCCGCGACGCAGGTACGCTCCTGACACTTGCTGACCCCTGCGTATTAGATCCCGCAGTGAGCAAAAAGGACCCTCACTTTTATATTGAGCCAGTGGGGGGTGCCAGGAAACATATCCTGGGGGCTATGGTTCAGCTAGACTGCGGGTTTGGGGAAAAACCTGCCCCGGTTGGGGTAATGTCAGGCCTACCGGCTGACATTCTACTGCGAAACTATCTTGGGTACCTCGGTTGCCAATTTTTGGAGAGGGGGGGGCCCAGAACCACTATCTGGGGGGAATTAAAAGGCTAGAACAGAGTTGAGGCCAGACCCCCAGTTGTCGAGGGCTTATCCTGTTAGCTATGTAAGGCCACATGTATCCCCTCTTGCAAGCCCAAGGGTTCGGGGAGCCTCCTGTGGTCCTCCAAACAGGTGGAGGGGTACCAGAAGGACCCACCAGCCCCGATGTCACACTTGCAAACAGAAGGGACACCTGCAGGCCAATTATCCCAGGGGGTGTAGGAAGAACCTCACAGCTTGCCTTTGGTGGAGAGGGAATGTCAGTAGCCCCCGCTATCCCCCATGGCATTCCCATGTGCCCGTAGGCCAGCAACCTCCTTACGCCCACAGGCTGCCCTGCTGGGATGAATCGCAGTACGCACTGACCCCCCGTGCCATGAACTGTCCCTAGTGTGCGAACAGACCACCCGTTGAATCCCCGTGAGCCTGATGTTGCCCCTAGTATGCTGTGTTGAGGGCAGCCTGCACAGCCAGAGTCCCATCGAGCCCCGAGAGCCCACTTACCGTGGGTGTCCCTACGGGCTGCATGGCGTGGAGTGCCCATGGATTGTCCTGGTTGAGTGTCTTTCATGGTTCAGTGAAACTTTGTGTGTTCTCCATCTTCTTTGTGCATTCTGTCCTGCCTACACTTCCGTCAAACTGACTGGTGGCAGCAGCAGGGGAGGACCAGAACGTGGAAGAAGATGATGGAGAAGCGATAACACCCCACAAGTGCCTCCACGGAAACCTGTTGAGGCCCCCTTATCAGCACTTGTAAAATGGAAGGGGGAGGAGTGCCACGGTATAGGGGCCCAGCCAATTATCAATTCCTGCTTACTGATCCGGAGTGTCACAATATGAGTTCTCTGCCAGCCCAGTTATTAATCCCCAGGTATTAATTCCTTGTTCCTAATCTGTCAGGAATGGACTGGCCAGCAATGGTGGGACTCACCTGCCTTTTGATCTGCAGTACCAGGGCTGGCCAGCGGGTGCTCCCAGCAATCAGAGACTCAACCTTTCAGCCAGCTAACACCTGGAACTGATGATACTGGTGTATTTAAGGGATGGCCAGACTTGCAGACTCTGCCTTGGTGTTGTGTTTGTCCTGGGCCCTGTATCTGTCCTGCATCCTGTTTCTGTTCCTTTGCTACCTGTTCTGATCCCTGGCTTGTGACCCTGACCATCCCTCTGCCTGACCCTCTGTACTACGCTGCTTGCTACCTGCTGAACCTGGCCTGTGACCCCGACCATTCTCCGCTTGCTCCCCCTGTACCTACCTGCCCAATTGATATTGACTCGGCCTGCCTGACGACGCTTGCTTGTATGTACTGTTATCTGTGGGTGGTTGGTTGGGTTTGTTTGCACTGTATTATGTTTAGTATTGCACTGCGTTTAATTGTTAGTGTTAATAAATTACATTGTTAATCACATATCTGAAGTCTGCGTTTCCCTGCTTCAGTCACACACCTCTGGTCATACCTGGGAGCCCTGACATAATCCCTCCTGTCCATAGGAAGAGCCTCCTCCAATTAGTATTCACTCATGTGTGCCAAAGGCCCCTAGCTGTAATTAACTCGCCCCTCCACAAAAGGTCCCAAATTCAATTAGTGTATACACCACTAATTAGTGCCTTACTTTTGTAGTAATGTATTTCCCCCACTATTACACCGTATACAGCTGCAAATCCAATTATCCTGTTTCAGTATCCAGCCTGTCCAACCGCCTCTCGTCCTGCTCAGGGGGTTTAAGAGGCCAGTGCTGGTCTCTCTTGTTGTTCCATTCTGCGTCCAGTCACTAAGGGATCCCAGCTGCGGTGGGACGATAGTGGCCAGACTCTGCCTAAGCCCCATTGGAGCAGGGGGACCCCAGAAGCCACACCAGCCCTGCCTGAGACTGCCACACCAGCCCTGCCTGAGGCTGCCACACCAGCCCTGCCTGAGGCTGCCACACCAGCCCTGCCTGGGGCTGCCACACCAGCCCTGCCTGGGGCTGCCACACCAGCCCTGCCTGGGGCTGCCACACCAGCCCTGCCTGGGGCTGCCACACCAGCCTGCCTGGGGCTGCCACACCAGCTCTGCGTGAATGTATGCTTCCCTGGTGTTATCTGACTGTTTATGAACTGCTTTAGAGACTTTAACTTTGCCCACCGGGGCTGAATTACAAGTATTTTGGACTCTCTCTCTCTGCACTAATCCCCATTGAGTGACTGTCTGTTCTAATAAAGCTTTAACTGGTTGACATCTACTCTGTGTGTTCTGTCCTGCCTACGCTCCGTCACAAGTACTATTTAAAGGTATGCACTATTAGTTCAAAGTATGTGGACACGTCTTGCTGAGTTTAGCTTTTTCCAGTAAAAGGACCCTTAATGCTACAGTGCAGATATTTTAGACAACTGTATGCCTCAAAGCTTGTTGTAACAGTTGGGGACAGGCCCTTGCCCTTATTCTTCCAGCAAGACTGGGCACCTGTGCACAACGCCAGTTCCATAAAGACACAGTTTGGAATAACTGATGTGAAGAAACTCTAGTGGCCTCTACAGAGCAGGGCCGGGACAAGGGGTGAGTGGGAGGGGTTGCTGCCCTGGGCACAATGGCTTACTGTAGGGATGTGGGCACTTTCCTTCTGTTACAAGGCTGAAAGGAGAAGTGACGGCGACATCACTGCTCCTGTCAGCCCAGCACTGGGAGTGGCAAGAAGAGAGCTAGGAGGCAGTGTGGGCTGTGTTCTCTTTCCCTCCTCCTTCATTCCTCTTGTGGTAGGACTGCGTTGGAAAAACTATGCATTTCCAGGTCGAAGCAAAACCTGATGGATCAGGAGCTGCACAGTGATTTTGACAATAGACAGCTGTGAGTAGGATCCCTTAAGCTTGCACATCATGAAGGAAGGGAGGGTTGCATTTTGGCATCTTTGCCCTGGATGATCATGTCCTGCCACTGCTACAGAGCCCTAACCTCAACCCTACTTATTACCTTTGGTATGAATGGGAAACTGACCTTGAGTTAGGGCAACTCTTCCAACTTCAGTACCTGACCTCACAAATGCACTTTTGGCTGAATGGACACAATTTCCCACAGATAAACTCCCAAATCTTGGAAAGAGGTGGAGGCTGCTATAGCTGAAAGGAGAGCCAACTTCATATTAAAACGGTAGTGAACAACCCAAAAATATTCTTAAAAAAAAAGTCCCCTGCAAAATAGCATAATGTACTAGTATGCATCGCATACTAGCACATTATGAAAGACTTACCTTAGAACGTAGCCCTCCAGCAGCACATTGTCACCGCTGACAGGGCTTCCACCTTCACATGGTCTTCCTTCCAGGTGTGCAGGCTTTGGCTGTTTGGCCGAGCCGTGATGACGTTTATCACGTACCTGGTGATGCAGGCCAGTGGAGAGAGGGCTTCCCTTGCGGCTAAGTTCCGGACTCCCCTGAGAGTGGGACAGTGGGAGTCAGGCCCAAAGTTGCACAGGTTGCCTGTAGGAGTGCTGGTTGGTGGTCCACTCAGCACAGCTGGTGCACGAGATAGGTCTGCAGACAGGAGGCGCCTCTGCGTGGTACGCAAGCCCTTCCGGAGATTTAGATGTTTACTGGGTAGACTGTTCAATCCAAAGTCAGGTACCAGGTGGGAATCAGAACAGACTTCGTCAGATGGGATAGCCAAGGTCATACACAGAGGAGCGAGAGAGAGAGTATCCATAAGCCAAGCCAAGGTCAGATCAGAGGTAAAGCAGAGTAGACGGGTCTAGGAGCAAGCCGAGTCAGTAACAGAAAATCACAGGAAACAGGAACAGGGCACGGGGCGCTAGAGATCATCTGGCAACTTGAGAAAGTGATGAGCCTCCTTATAAAGGCCATCTGGCACCAAACTGAGGCTGATGTGTGCTTCTGCAGCCATGCAAAGTACTGGCAGAAATGCCAGATCTTCTAGAACTTCTGCCGTGGACAGGACCCTGACAGTGCCCCCCCTAAAGGGCAGCCTCCGGATGCCCACCTGGGGCATCTTTTTAAGATACTTGGAACTAAATTCTTGGAGAGGCCTGGGGGCATGTACATTGCCTTTTGGTTCCCAGGAACTTTCTTCAGGTGGGTACCCCTTCCATCTGACCAGGTTACTGGATTTGTCTTCCCTGCCTTCTGCAGTCCAGAATTGCTTTAACCCCATATTCCATCTCCTCCCCAACTGTTATCAGGGGAGGAGGTGGTTCTACTCTCCCTGGAAAAGGATCAGGAACAGCTGGCTTAAGTAGGGAAACGTGGAAAACTGGGTGGATCTTGTATGATTCCGGAAGGAACAGCTCAAACGCCACTGGATTGATTTCCCTCTTGATCCAGAAAGGGCCAATGTACCTTGGACCCAACTTACGTGATAGGCACGGGAGTTTTAGATTGACAGTTGATAGCCAAACTTTGTCTCCAATCTTCAGAGGAGGGTTTCTTCTCCGTTTCCTGTCATAGTGTTACTTATAATCAGCCTGGGATTTCACTATAGACTCTCGGAGGACTTTACAGTTGTTCTGTAGCGTGGAGAGTCTGTCCTGTACTGCGAGTATTGAAGCTTCAGGAATGGTGTCAGGTATGAAGGAAGGGTGGAATCCATAATTGGCCCAAAATGGTGACTGGTTTGTAACTGAATTTTTGGCAAATTCTGCCAATGGGAGTAGGGATGCCCAATCATCCTGAGAAAAAGCAGAGAAGCACCGTAAATATTGCTCCAAAGTCTGGTTTGTTCGCTCAGTTTGCCCGTTACTCTGGAGATGGTAGGCGGACGATAAGCAGAGTTCCACCTTCAGAGCCTTGCAGAGGGCTCTCCAGAACCTGGACGGAAACTGCATCCTCAATCTGCGATATTACTGGGCAGACCATGTAACCTGACAATCTTTGATGAAAGTTAGTGCAGTCTCTATTGCAGATGGAGTACCCACCATTGGTAAAAAGTGGGCCATTTTGGATAGCCGATCCACTACTACTATAATGGTAGTAAACTCCTCCGAGGGCGGTAAATCCACAATGAAGTCCATTGCAACCATCTCCCAGGGATAATCAAGAATGGGCAGGGGCCTCAGCAACCCCCAGGCCTTGGCTTTGTCTCCCTTGTTCCGCAGACACACTGTGCACGACTTCACATAGGCTATACAGTCATGATTCAAGTTGGGCCACCAGAAGGATCGCTGGATTAGTTCCATTGTCTTACGGGCTCCAAAGTGTCCAGCCAGTTGATGGTCATGGAAAGCCCTGAAAACTTAAGACCGCACTTCTTGGGATACAAAGATTTTATCCTTGTGCCAAAGAAGACCATCCTGCCTTCTAAGCGAATCTTGTTCGGGTTCAGGACATAGTGCAGAGGCTTGCTTGATCAAAGACTTTAGGCTGGGTTGGATCAGCAAAACATTTTGGGCCGACAAAATGATGTTTGGGGAGAAGGCTCCTCTGAGTCTGGGAACAGGCGGGAAAGGGTATTCACCTTCCCGTTCTTGGATCCTGGGCGGTAGGTTATGTGGAAGTTAAACCTGGAGAAATAAAAATCCCATCTAGCCTGTCAAGGTCTTAGGCGCTTGGCGAACCTTAGAGATGCTGCAGATTTTTATGATCTGTGAAAATCATAATTGGGTGGCTGGTTCCTTCCAAGAGATACCTCCGTTCTTCGAAGGCTATCTTAATCGCTAAAAGTTCCTATTACCCACATCATAGTTCCTTTCAGCTTGGCTCAGTTTTCTAGAACAAAAGGCTATTGGGTGAAGCAGAGCCTTTGGGCCCTGGCGCTGGGAGAGTACGGCTCCTGTAGCAACTTCAGATGCGTCCACCTCCAGGATGAAAGGGAGTGTTGGCTCTGGATGCTGTAACACAGGAGCGGAGGTGAACTGATCTGTTAATTGCTCAAATGCTTTTTGAGCTTCTTTGCTCCAGCAAGAACGTGTATGCTGGCGGGTGAGTCGAGTAATAGGGGCAATGATTGTGGAAAAGCCCTTAATAAATTTCCGATAAACGTTGGAGAAACCCAAGAATCATTGGACACCTTTCCTGTCTGAAGGTGCAGGCCAATCCAGGATAGCAGATACTTTGAGGGTCCATGGAGATCCCTTCGGTGGAAATTATGAGCCCCAGGAACTGGATGGACTGCTTCTCAAACTCACACTTCTCCGCCTTGGCATACAAACTATGCATCCTTAGAGTGTTTAGCACTTTCCTAACGTGATCACGATGGAGTTCTAGTGAGGTAGAGAAAATTAGGATATCGTCCAGGTAGACAATCACAAAAAGGTCAAGGTACTCTCTAAAGATGTTGTTCACAAAGTGTTGAAACGTAGCAGGGGCATTACTTAGCCCAAACGGCATCACTAGGTACTCAAAATGTCCAAAGCGTGTTCTGAAGGCAGTCTTCCACTTATCGCCCTCTCTTATATGGACTAAATTGTAGGCCCCCCGTAACTTCAATTTAGTGAACACTCGGGCTGTTCGAAATCTCTGAAACAACTCGAGCACCAGAGGAAGAGGATACCGGTTTTTAATGGTAATTTTATTAGGTTCCCTGTAGTCAATGCAAGGTCTGAGAGACCGATCCTTTTTTTCTACAAAAAAAATACCAGCCCCGGCAGGAGAGGAAGAGGGGCGGATGAATTCTTTAGCGAGATTCTCGTCTACATAGTGCCAGAGGGCTTCCAGTTCAAGTTTGGACAATGGAAAAATTCACCCAAATGGTATTTCTGCCCCTGGGAGAAACACAATTGGGCAATTGTAAGATTGATGAGAAGGCAACGTGTCGGCCTTCTTCCTATCAAATACATCAAGGAAGTCGTGGTAGGTAGAGGGAATTGATTGACTGGCCTCTGGAGGTTGGACTGAGACATACAGAAGAATTGGTTAGAGCAGGAGCACCATAGTGTTGTAGACAATATTGTGAAGAAAAGATGATTTCCATCTTGGGCCAATTGATCTGTGGGTTGTGGGCTTGCAACCAGGGTATTCCTAGGATGGCTGGAAGCATGGGGGATCTGATCACATCAAAACGAATAAACTCCTGATGGTCAGAGTCGGTGGTTGAAAGAATAGGAATGGTTTTCTTGGTAACAGGTCCGGAACTCGGAGTAGTGCCATGTGCAAGTAAGACGTCAAGTCTGTTTCCTAGGCAGAAGAGGGATGTGTAAGTTCTTGGCCAATTGGATGTCTAAGAAACAGCTACAAGCTTCCGAGTCAATGACTGCCCGCAACTTGACGTCCCTTCCAGCCACCTGCAATGACATGGGGAGAATGACATGGGTGGTTAAAGTCCTGGATAGCTGAAGGTACAAAGGATGGGGCTGGCTGGACATACTTGGTCGTACTGGGCAGTTACGCAGGAAGTGGCCCCACAGTAAAGACAGAGGTTGCCTTGCTGTCTGCGTAGCCTTTCTTCCGGAGTTAGGGCAGGTCGGAGAAGGACGATTTGCATAGGTTCTACCTCCAAAGTGTTGATGGGTTTTCCGAGCAAGGGCAGGAGCCGTTGGTCCTGGAACTTTTGGCAGAACCCAAGTGGGCCGAAAGGTCTGAGTACGCTCTGGGCGTCATTCCAGTAGACGCCGATCCAACTGAGTAGCGAGCAGGATAAGGTTCTCCAAGGAGGAGGGAGCTTCCAACCTAGCTAACTCGTCCTTGAGGGACTCGGACAGGCCTAGGCGGAACTGGTACTTCAATGCTGCATCGTTCCAACCGTTGTCTGCAGACCATTTACGGAACTCCACTATGTAGTCCTCCACAGGCCGCCGACCTTGTAGTAGAGCGTGGAGGTCCTCTGGGGATCGTCGTAGAGGGCAGCCATGGCTTCAAAGAATTCACTAACTGAATTGGGTGCTGGGCTCTTTTGTTCCAGAAGACCATGTGCCCAAGACTGAGTTTCTTCAGACAAGAGGGAGATGATGAAGCTGACCTTGACTGCTTCCAGAGAAAAGGTCCTGGGTTGCAGAGCAAAATATAATTCACAGGCATTCTTGAAAGCTTTGAACGTACGTCGATCCCCGAGAAAACATTCCACAGTAGAAACTCTGGGTTCTGGAGGTGGTAACACTATTGCAGGAATGATGGCAGGAGACTGACTGGCATGTGCGGTTACTGGGTTGGAAATGGCGGAGGGATCCTGGTCCGCGGAAGTAGAGAGGGAGTGAAGACGCCCTTCTAGCTGGAAGTACCCTTGCTGTACATCCTTCACTGCTTGGGTAAGTGCCGTCATCTGTTGGCACAGGGCCTCTAGTGCAGAAGCGCCTCTCTCGGCCTTCGACATACTGGCTGGATGATACTATCATGTACCTGGAGATGTTGGCCAATGGAGCGAGGGCTTCCCTTGCAGCTAAGTTCCAGACTCCCCTGAGAGTGGGACAGCGGGAGTCAGGCCCAAAGTTGCACAAGTCGCCTGTAGGAGTGCTGGTTGGTGGTCCACTCAGATCTGCAGACAGGGCCTCTGCGTGGTATGCAAGCCCTTCCAGGATTTAGATGTTTACTGGGTAGTCGGTTCAAGCCAAGGTCAGGTACCAGGTGGGAATCAGAGCAGTCAGATGGGATAGCCGAGGTCATACACAGAGGAGCGAGAGAGAGAGTATCCGTAAGCCAAGCCGAGGTCAGATCAGGGGTAAAGCAGAGTAGACAGGTCTAGGAGCAAGCTGAGTCGGTAACAGGAAATCACGGGTCAAAACCACAGGA